TATAGACTGAACTTACTTCACCCTCATATTTTCTTTCAAAATGTATATAGGTTTAATGCTCAGTTGTCTTTAGCACTAATGAATGGTTTTGATTTGTACCAGCCTAATCTTCATTTTTGGCTTCAAGCTACTTTATGTTTTCTAGTGAACTGCTGTTAAATCAGATTTTGTTACTGTATCAACTCTTTTTTGTTTGCTTTTTTTTTCCCCTGTAAAGAAGGCTAAATTAGCAATAATTTCCTTTGCCTACAACCCTGAATGGGCATATATTGAAAAGTACAATGTAGTATTAAAAAAAAATCCTGGAGATAAATGAATGGCAGAATAAATAATTTATGCTAATGAAATTACTGCAATTAGTAGTTCCACAATGACCCTTTTAAAAGCCACAGCTGTTAATGTCAGGAAGTGCTGTCACCGCTGACCTTATCATAAGAGAAAGTGACAAATTGAAAATGCAGGGAAGACCAATCCTCAAAGAGGTCTGTTCGGGAACGATTAGTGTTTTCTGAAAACCAGTGTGAATTACAGCCAGCTGCTCTCTGGCTCGGCGTGTCTCCCATGCTGTGCCATTTTGTTAAGCTCCATAACAATAGTTATTTTGCCCCATTGAGACAAGTTGTCTCGGGCCACTTCCAGCTCTACCGGAACCCACTCCGTCCCTCGCTGATTTACAAATGAAACTGTTGTTAGAGGGCTTTTCAGGGCTGCTGAGGAGAGACCTCTCATAAGGATCATGTGTGAGGAGGCTGTCTTTCACCGGGAAGAGCTGTACTGCAGGGTGCGAGTGTGTCGCAAACAATGAAAAAAGGAGAAAAGCGCTGAAATGCATTTCGGTTGGAAGCTAAATGCTGCTCAAATCTGCATAAAATGTCTGTTCCTGCTGACTAGCCTTCCTTTTACAAACGATTTTTTAAAAGATGAATTTGTGCTACTTTGCTTCCACTAATGATGTTCTGGTTTTTCCTGTTTGCAAAGCAATTTGCCTCTGCTTTCCCTAAATGCAAATCGTTCTTTATTTAGTTCTTGCTTTAATTTCTGTTTTTCTGATCATAGGTGAAATAAGTATTCTTCTAAACTAGCTCTGAAAAGGCACAAGGAAATAATGAGTTTTCTTACTGAGAAAAATGGCAAGCCTTTCTGCAACAACCTGATTGTAATATTAATGATGTAGGCTTAAAACATTTGACTGCATCAACAGCCACTCATGAGCAATTTTCCCAAAGTTCCCTAAGCATTATTGACAATGCTTTGGTAAATTACGTGTGACTTTCCTAAGAGTTGGTGTAGCTCATTTAATTCATATTAATTGATTTTTAGGCTTCCCTTGATTAATTGAACTGGGTTCGTCTTGTAGAGAATGCAATAAATAATCATTAAAATGAGGGAGATGTGACTCCACAAATGATAAAGTTTAAGTGTGCTAGAAGTCATGGAGGACAAAATGAAAGTTAGTTACAGTGATGGAATTAAATGGGTTTCCTTAGTATTTCCCTTTTAATTTTGCATATATTACTCTTGCTTAGACATGTATATGATTTTTATTCTATTAGTATATGTGGATAGGGTCCCTTGAAACAAACAAAAAATATTTCTGGAGATTTCCTATTTCTTGTTTAGCCTGAGAAAGTGTACTCTAATTCAAAGGACTGGAGTGATATCTTCTATTTGCTAGTTCAGTTTTCCACAAATTTAGAAATTGGACCTTTGAACTTTGATCCTGAACCCCTCTCCTTGCTGTCAGAGGTGAATCAAGACAGGCATTTTATCTCTTCATTTGCCTCAGAAACACATGACTTAATGACCATCTGGAGCTGTTTTAAATGTGCCTGGCCTGTTTTGATTTTTCCGTAGCATGTGAAGAGAAATTTCCGGCCTCCAGCTGCATTTTGGTCTCTGTGATGAGAGAGAAACCCCACGTGGTGCTGTGTGGGACCCAGCCCAGGGCCACAACAGTGCTCTGGGGTCCCTTCTGCAGTGTGCTGAGATTTCCCTGCAGCTGGAGTTATGGTTGGTGGTTTGATGCCTGGCTGGCACACAGGGAGGAGCCTCCACTCTCTGAACTGAGTGGATCTGAACTCCATGTAGTCATAACTACTTTTCTGCTTAATACCTCTTGAAGCTGATAGAAGGTAATTTTAGCACACAAATGTTGCTGATTTTCTGACATTTTTACGGTATCTAGAGGCTCAGCTTTAGGGGGAGAACTCCACAGTGGTCTAAATCCTGCCCTCGTTACAGTTTGTTAGTCTATCTTTCAGAAGCACAGATAAGCAGGGGTGGAACAACTTTGGAAATATAAATTGTGGTGTCCAGTTCTGTTCAAACTGAAGTTGATGGCAAAAATGCACTTCAAACAGGAATTTGATGATGTATGAAGTGTGTGAGGACCAGTGTGATTAGAGCAACCACTCTACTGTGTTTCTTTAACTTACAGAGGATTTCTCTTTGACAGGAGTTACAGAGATGAAGTAGAAAATCCATAGAATATTAACTGCACATAGCAGTATAGTGAGCTGGTTTAATCTCTGCTCCTAGTTTTTAGGAGTGTTTACTAAAAAATAATAAAGTATGTTGAAGCACTGAGCTTCTGTGGTGATGACTTGATGAATGCCAGTGCAAAATTAATTAATTTATATGCAAAACAGCTGGGGAAGGCTCATTTTGCTTTAGTGTTTTTTACATGATGACAGCATTGTATTTAGGGTAGATTGAAGGAGAGTTTTATAAATGAGCCATCCTTAGAAACATACATGGACATACTTAACTTTATATAGATATACTTAAGTTTGGAAGCATTTCTTTGTTCCTCTGTTTCCATTTGTTCTTTTTCCTTGGGTATGTACAGCCACTCATCCAGAACTGCATGGTTTATGGGGATTTTATGGCTTCTGCCCACACCAGTGTGAATGTCCTGAGTGCCAAGTACAATAGGCAGTACAATTGCACCACTCCAAAGAGTTTTCTGAAGCACACACACACCAAAAACATCAAGAGGCTATCATCACACATGGAACACTTGGTAAATGGCATGCAGAAGCTTTCTTCAGAAAGAGGGAAGCCAGCAGCTTTCCAGGTAAACTGTAACAACCTTTTTCATTAATTCTTTATAAATAATCTTTCTTTTATTGCAAATTCATCATAACCTTTTCATTAGACTGACTAGTTGTGGAGTGGCATTTTTGTGTTTCATTGACATTACCTGATTTTTGAAACTGAGGTGTTTGGGGGTTGTTTGTTTGTTTGTTTGTTTTGTGGGTTTTTTTGTTTGTTGTTGTTGTTTTTTAATATAAGCTCTTTGAGCTTTTTAGCTGCCTTTGGGAAGAGGGGACAATCCATTTAAGCAAGGACAAAGTCTGGAGGGAGGGGGAGCTACTGTAAAATGGTGGGAGGGAAGCAAGTGTCTCAGTAAAAGCTAAACCCAGGGAAAGAGAAGAGGCAGCTCCATACGTGTGAATTTTGAGGGGCAATGAAAGCAGGAGGAACATGTGTGAAGCCTTTCCATGAGGTGCTGTCACCTGCTTGTGAGGCCAGTGCCACTCAGCCCCAGTCAGTGCTTCTGCTTGCAGTCCATTGGTGGTTGACCAGCCCACAAAGACAAAAAGGAGGGGAAACTGCTTAGAAACCTTTACCCCATCCCACCCGTACACATGTTCCCTAATCCCCTTTGCAAATTTTGAAGACAAACCATAATCCAGCTATTTCTTTATTAAAAACTAAAATTCTGTGTGCTTTTTTGCAAATGAGATGCTCGGCTGCAGGCTTTGCATAACATTTCATCTTAATGCTGCTGCATTAGGTTAGTAATGGGAGCTGGTTGTCTTATTCCCACTTCGTCAGCTGAAGACCTTCTGAAAAATGGTCAACAGAAAAGAGTGGCTGTGTTTTTAAAGTCTGTTTTTAATAAAGTAGCCCCTGGTAGTAAATTATTAACATGTTCTTTTTTTCTCTGATTTCTAATTTGATGAGGACCAAATGGTAATTGGACAATTTCATGTGCTGCATGCTGTTCTGGCTGACAGACCCACAGCTCCAGGCACTGTCTAGCCAGACACTTGAATACTGAGCCATTTTTACCCTGCACTCTGGAGGTTTACAGAAGAATATGAAATGAAGCACTGTTTAGTATTTTTCTTAAAGAAAAAGACATAAAATCACCTGAAACAAACTGAAAAATAAATGAATTAAGAGATTTGGGATCTCTACAGTCATCTGTTAAAACTCAGTATTACAGCTTGGTCAAATAAAATGGTCAAATTTTGAAAAGATAAATTCAGTTTGTTTTGTAAGACTTCAGGAACCCACCAAATCAGGAGAGTCCTCAACACCTTCTGTATGATTAAAGTTTAAACCCGCTAATATTTGTCTTCCACTTTTTTTTATCAACCCTATCCAGATCAGATTACCAAGATCCCTCTGGTTAAAATATATCTTTATTATCTTCCAGACAAAATGATTGGTAGATTAGTAGAAAAACAAAAAAAAACCCTCAAACCATGCCAAACTCTCAGTTATTTGAAAAATTTTCTTTATATGTGATAAGATATTGTTGCTGGATATTTTCATATGACTTTCTCAGCTGGCAGGCAATGAATTGCCATTTCAGCACAACAACAGGTAGTTTTTGTTCAGCAGTCTCTGAGCGTGCCTCAGCCTTCCAGCAAAGCTCTGCTGGAATTATCTCAGAGGGATATTTTCCGTGGCATCCCTGTGCCTTTGTGCTGAGACACCCGAGTGCAGCCCCAGCCCCAGCAGCAGGACAGACATCTGAGCTTCTCCTGCGAGCTGAGGGCTCTGTGGTGGGTGCAATTAGGCTGCCATTATTAAATTATTTACATCCACAAAATTCTGTCAGGTACAAACGGAAAAAAAGATTAAAAAAAATGAAAAGACAATGCTTCTCGTCAGACCCACGAAACATGAATTTTGTTTTCAGTTCAGCTTTGGATCTCAGAACCATGCCTAATGTTCTGAATAATGCATTACCTTTTGCCCTGTAGGTAGAAGATCTAAAATCCAAACTTGCTACTCAAGAGGCAGAACTGCAACTGAAAAATCAAGATACTGAAGCTTTGATTGCTAAGATAGGGTTTCAAACTGAGAAACTGAGCCAAGAAAAGGCCATTGCAGATGCAGAGGAGCTAAAGGTCAGTCTAATTCTCCTATTTACTGATGTTGAGCTATATTTAACACAAAATAAACCTTTTTAGGAGAACAGTTTTTAACAACTTCCTCTCTAGGGAGCATAAAGTCTAAAGAATTATTATACTTACACGTGTAACAGCATTTCACACCGTGATTACCACTTGACCTTTCTTTACATTATGCCTTTTCCTAACCTTTTAGCTGTTTTAATGAGATGAAAGAACAATAAATACTGAACTCATTCAAGCATTTAATGGATGTGGATCTTGAGAATCAGACCTATTTGTAATACAGTAAAGGTCAAAGAGTCATATCTTAACACTTCTGATTTCTAAAGGCTTTGAGGCTCTAGGTAAATTGAACAACTCAATTGATACAGTCCATTCCACCATTTTACAAGGTACAAACCTTGAATCTTAAGATTATAATAGCATTCCTGACAATATATGTCTTCAGCGTTGACTCTCCTTCTTTTTTGCTCTCAGTTCAGCCTATTAGCATTAGTTATCAACATCTGTGTTGGAAACTCAGAGGCTCACATGCTTTACTGTTCACCACAGAATGAATAGAAATGCATCATTTCATCAGGAGTCTAAAATTTCTATCTGCAGTTGCAAGCATGATTTTGAAATAAATCATCAGTAGCATGGAGTGCTGTAAAGTGAAGTTCCTCTGCCTTTAGAGTCTGGAAGGCTCATTCAAATCTAACATTGTGCTGCAAAATCTCATGTACATTGTGTCATTGACCAATAGTGCAGAAATGAGTTCTTAATTGACTTGTAATAGTTGTTAATAGCCTGATTTTGAGATATGGATACTTCAAGTTTCCAAGGATTTTGTAGTTTCCAGATATTGACCAGCAGGGAAGACTGTCCTGTCTAAACATTCAAAATAGCCTCACATTTTTTCTATTTTGTTTCTAAAATACTTACCACCAGATGATATTTAACAACTTTCCAAAAACCTTGCATCTAATCCTAATTTTACTGAGAGAAAAGTAATTTTTGATACTGAGATAAACAAAGACATGATCAGGACCTTTATATTTCTCTGGATTATGCTAACTACAGACTTCAGCCTTTTGCTGATCCATATATCACCTAAGATTTAAAAATGGCCATGAAGTTTCAAGTCCAAATCATGCAATTAATTAAACTTGTACAAATGGGATCCAACAGCTCAACATCCTACCAAATACTTTTCATGTGATTCTTTTCCTTTATTGGTTCCATATGCTTCTGATAAATTTGGATGTTCAAAATACACCCTTAACACAATTTTAATTACTTCATTAAGCAGCTAGGTGAAACACATAGAGTGATTATTGTGAGATAATCACATCTTTGGGCCACTTTGTTTCAGGGATGAAGTTCAGCACCTGACACTAATGATTACTGTACTCCACTGTTCATTGCTTTATTGCACTTCTGAAATGTTTTCATTGGAAATGAAAGCGTCATTTTGTGCTACATTAATCTAAAACTGTTTCATAAGGTTAATGATAGTTTCTAAACACTAATTTTCTCTCATTTTTTGTTACCAAAAGAAGCCCAGCAAATGAGAATACATCTTTAGCTAAGTAATTTGTGAAGACTCTTCCTAACGGATTAAAATATGTCACCCTTTAAAAAATTATTTTGGCTTTCCTGTTCTATAGATTTGGAATTGGCGTTTTCAAGAGCTTTCTGAGTTTTACAGCCTTAAGCAAGTAAATACCTTGGAGGTATTGACTTGGAGTGAAGTATTGCTTAAGAAAGAATAGATGAAGAATGGAAATCACTTTAGATCCAACATATTAGGAAAAGTGAGTTCAGTCTGCATTCACATAACTGTGGCAGGCTGCACACCTGTTTAGTAATAAACAAGGGTTTTACCATGAACATGACACTGATAAGGTTTTAAAATAGTGGACAGTAATGCTGCTGTTATTTTGTTGGCCATTATTGTGCTCTGAATGCTGTCAGCCCCAGCAGCTTACACGTGAAGGTGCATATGCCATTGCCTTTTAAAACAGGACCTACCCCTTTAAAGACAGAAAATGTGCAGGTATATGTTTGACAGTGACACTAGCTGAGGGTTAGGAACAAATCATAAAAGCTGCATCACAGGACATGAGGGAGATATTTAACTTGATTAGTAACTTGTCATTTATAATGTAATGCATATTGATTTTTAATATTTGTTATTGCCACAGACAGTAGCTGTGTGTGTCCTATCTAATAAATGTGTACATGGAAAATGTCCCCAGCAATTGTAGAAACAGGTTTTGCAAGGGTATTAAATTCTTACAGAGGCTTATTACTGCCAATGCAGAGTGCTCGATCCAAGTATTAACATCTTGATCACTGTAATATCTTCTTTCTGTGTAATTAAACTAGGTTTAAGCAAGACCTGACAGGAAATGAGTCTGTGAGATGAGTATGAGGTACAAGGATAAGGATGAACCAAGAATAACTGACTTCAGCCTCAGGCAATGTATCTTTAAAAGTGTGTATGGTAATCTTTCAAATACACAATTGCTGATGATACAGAATGCCCCCCAGGTTTACTCTCCCACATAAATTTGCTACAATGAAATCATAATCTGCTTTTAAACAGATAATTAAATTGTTGCAGAAGGTTGTGGAGGTACTCAGATTTCATGTAAGACTGATGCTAACTGATGTAAAGTCACTGATCTAAGCCACTGTTAAGCCTTCTTCTGTCTGTGTCTCCTCTCAGCCTCTCATGCACCCCCAGTCCCCACACCAGCATGGCAGTACAAAAATCAGTGTCTTGACAAAGCTGCTTGAACTGATTATTATTCAATTTCCAAACCTGAAATTAAGTACAGTGTTTCCATATAGGATATTTCCATTTCTCTGATTCCCTCCCTTGTTGTGACCTATGGTTTCAGACCTGAGGAATAAAAAGAAGGCAAATTTGGCAAAAGGTGGAAGCTGGTTTGACAAATTTTTATATGTTTTCCTATACCTCAAGACTGGAGTGACTATTTTGCTTTTTAGGGAAATCTCCAGTGAACCACTGACCCAGTCATTGCCTTTTTGGTATATTCTCTAATTATCTAAAAGAAAACCCTTTGAAGGGGAAGAAGGGGCAGTGAGGGAAAAAAGTTCATAGGTCTCAAAATCTTAGCAAAAAGTCTTGTTTAGCTTCAGCTTTTGCATTTGAACCTAGATCATGAAAGGCTTATAGCTTACGACTGCAATGGCAGTGGTTACTGAGTTCCCCCCTGTGTTCAGTAACTCCTCAGGAGTAACAGACTGCCCCAACATCCCCCAGCTTTTTTGTACAGATACCTTACCTGATCTCCTGCCCTGCATACTGGTAACACCCCATCCCTCAGGCATGGCACTCACACCACTCACTTTGGTATCATCTGGAAATTTGCTGAGGGTGAGCTTGATCTCACTGTCTGTGTCACTGATTAGGATATTAATTTCTTCTGGCTGTGTCTCCTCCCAGCCTCTCATGCACCCCCAGTCCCCACACCAGCTTGGCAGTACAAAAAGCAAAGAAAAGGCCATGGCTCTGTGTAAGCCCTGCTCAAAAGTAACAAAAACATCTCTGTTTATCAACCCTGTGTTCAGCACAAGTCCAAAACACAGCCCCATACCAGCCACTCTGAAGAAAATTAACTCTACCCCAGCCAAAGCCAACATCCTGTCACATTAGGGGAAAGGGCCCAAGGACAGAAGCTGGAAAGCCACACAACTCTTTATAGGAAAGGTAAATATCAAATGGACATCAGACAATATCTGAGATGAAAGAAGAAAATAACAGTTAAAAAAGAGAGAGAAAAAGAAAATAAATCACATCTTCACTTTCTTGCAGCTTGAATGTGTGGGGAGAAGATTTGACCCTGCATCGCTCTTTTCTGTGTACTTTTGGTGACAAGCTCAAGTCAGCCTGAGCACCACTGGGATTTATTGAATGCAAAACCAGGAGAAAATGAAAGGGAGAACATTTCATTATATTTATCTGATTTTCCCCTAATTTTCCAAGCAAGACATAAATCACAGATTGTATTTGTGACAGAGAATACTTCTGTATTTTGGGGAAAATATTTCCGCCTTGTACAGAATAACATTTCTAAATCAATTAGCTAGTGCAGGATTCCAGTTTTAGCTTTGAGATGAAAGTAGGATTTAGCTTCTGCTTCTCAAAAAAATTGAACGTTATATACACTGTAACTTCTCACAGGTTGATGACTCCTTGCAAGATTTAATCAGCTATGATAAGGAGCATATTTCTCAGCATTTTCTGAAGGTTGCCAAGGAGCATTACTTGAAGGATCCAGACTTCAACCCAAATTATGTTCATACAGAATCCTTTGCAGCAGCTGGTCTCTGTTCCTGGGCCATCAATATAGTAAAAATCAGTGAGGTATGTATAGATAAGCTCTTGAACTCGCCCTGATGGGGGAATTTTGGTTGTGATTTTTTTGGTTTTTTATTAGGCTCAGCTTAGTGTTCTGGGGAGCATGTAACAATCACCAGAGATCAAGCGGGAAGTGCTCAGTACTTGGCAGTATATATGCATTTATTTCCTTTTAGTAGGAAGTGGTAAAAAAGATGTAGCTGTCCAGGACTTTTCAACTGTTATTACAGTTGCATTACAGATGCAACAGTTGGGAAATATTCTCCAGATGTACATGTTTCACTTGAAACATCCATCCTGGGTCTGGCTGTCTGGAGTATGAGACAGAGCTTATCACTTGTGATTCCCTGGAGCACCTGGCAGCAAGATTTCTCCATTCATCCTAGAATTATAGCGTGCTCATTTAATTACTGAACAGTAAAAACTTATCAATTGTAGATGAAATCTACTCAAGTGTAATGCCTGTCTGATTTCCGCCTGTATTCTAAAATCATGAAAGTGATACGTATAAATTAATTCTAGTTGGAGAGTAGACTCACTAAGGTTGCATTTAGTTCTGCTTAAAAAATCCTTCTATAGATTATCATAAAATCTGCTGTAGTCAATAATGAAAGAAATCTTTGCTTGACTCACTGTTATGTAGAAAAATGGGTCTAAAGCAAAGATATGTAATGAAAGGCTACTGGGATTATCTTAAAGACTTTCATCAGGAGTAATTTGTAATTTCTGTAATAAAGCGAGACCAATTTCTTCTCTAATGTACCATTGTGGTACGTCTTGTTCAAGGTGTATTGTGAGAGAGAACCAAAATGTTGTGCACTGGCTCAGGCTCACACTGAATTAGCAGCAGCTAAAGGAAAAGTATAAGTCATCAGGAAAAAGCTTCTTGTAAGTATGGCTTGATTAATAAACTTCATTCTCTAACACCTTGAGCCCCCTTAATTTCATTAATTTTTAATTAATTTTTCTTAATGTGTTTTATTTTTATTGATTTTATTACTACCTAGTTCAAATGTTAGAGGCATGCTCTCGTTAGGGATTATCACTATTTTCCCCTCAAATGTACTGAAGAATGCTCTGCAGTTTGGGTGGCAGCCCATGAAGCTGTTTACCCAAAATAACTGAATTTCTCAAAGCCATCTAGGCACATCATAAGCATTAGGCTAATAATTGGAATGGAGGTTGATAGAAGTATCTGACTGTGAGTTTTCCAAGGAATATATGCCAAGTTTTTATACCAGTAGTGACCTACTGCAGTATAGCAATAACATCCAGAAAGGGCTTTAGAAGCTCACACTCATTTGTGTTAATGTTTGTCATTAAACATACAATAAAAACAGCATCGAATCTCCTCTGATTTTCTGAAAGACCTACAAACGCAGGTACACGTGTGTGCTTGCATGCACATAGAAGAGGAAACTTCCATTAGTCTTTTACTGACAAGTGTCTTGTGAGTTAATGATGTAATTGAAGACCACACTTGTCATCAAGTATCTATTGAACTTTTGAGAGGGATTATTTGTTGTGTAAGTGTGCATTTAATGGAGTGACTGCAGCACAAAGCACTCTTGATACAAAGACATCTCATGGTATCTTGGGAGATGGTGGGTGGAAGGAGTTTCTGCTGCAAGATAATCAACCTTACTAAGCAAAGGAATCTTCACATGCTTTGAAAGATGTGACATTAATTAGGTTTAAAAGACTTTGACTTTGCCTCAGACCTTTTTGTTGGTAATATTTAGATCTGTAACCTCACAGTTTGAGATATCAGGCAATAAACAAAGGCTGAACAAATCTGTAATGAGGCTTTTATTCTCATTGCTTCCTCTTGAACTGGCACTTTAAAAGAATGACAAACATTCACTTTTATGGAAACCCTTGCAAGCCTGTGAGTTCTGGTATTTTAGAATTTAATTCTTTATTTCAGGAATTTCCTGGTTTTCTTCCTGCTATTTTAATAGACCATTTTTTTCTTGTTCTAAAGGAGATACAGTTTTAATGGCTAAACAAAGATAGATTATACCATCTGACTTTATTCTCTGATCCCTCTGACCCCCACCCCAAAAATCCCATCAGCTGTTACAGCCGGTATTTTTCTTCCATGAGAAACAGCCTTAGCCTTATGACCTTGGAGTTGCCCATTTAGATCAAAATCTACCCTAATGAAGCTTGGATCTGCACTAAAAGACAACTTTATGGAAGCATCACGTTTTTCATTTCACACATCTATACTGATGTATGTCCATTAAGTCCAAACACTTTTGGACAAAAATAGCCATCTAGTATTGTTTTGGGGAGATTTTATATTTTTTGCTTTTTTTTAATACACAGCAGTCACCCCTGAAACTCGTGGAATCTTTTACTGTTTTAATGTGTTCCTCTGAAAAAAAACCCACTAATACATCTCTTTTCCTTGCCTGACAGTATCTCAAATAACCTTTTCCTGGTTTAGGAGACCTCGCATTCAATCAGCTTCCAAATCCAAAGCATACTTTTTTGCATTTGTTTATTTCCTTTTTTTTTTTTTTACATTTGTTTACTTTACCTTTTTTATGTTTATTTACTTCCCCTTTCCTCCCCTCAGGCGTTTTTCTGAGGATTGTTAGCAGCAGTATTTCTCTCAGCTGTGCTTAGTTCCTAATAGGAAGAATTCTGCACTACAGGTGAAGTTGCAATTCCTTTTCATTTGTCTGTTTCCTGTGTTAGGTCAACACTTGTCATACTGTCATTTACTGTGAATATTTTTACTAACCACTTTTTAAAATCCATACTGCATATTCAGCCAGGATTCCCTTTACATGTTGTCAGGATCCCATTAAAACTATTATTTTTGTAGCTGATTCATACCCTTGCTGATCCACCTGATGAACTTTTCTAAGGAATTGTAGCTTTAATTTTTAATTCTCTAGCAGGTATTACTCATAATAATAATATACCCCAGAGCTCATGGAGTTGTTGTATGGATAACTCTACAGCTGGAGAAATTAATTCTTGATAAATGCAAAATAACATATTTTAACTTTTTATGAGTACTTCTTGACTGCTGTTCATTGATTCCAAGTTTAGGAAAGAAGACATGGGGGCTGATCATGAAGAATTTAAAGACAGCTTTGAAGTTATTCCTGTATTGAGTTGAGAGTAGGAGTGGATTACCCTCCAAGATCCTTCTAAACTATATCATTTTATGATTCCAAAAATAAAATTGAAATTTAGTTCATCCAGTAATATTTTATAAGATTAAATTCAGCAGAAGAATGAATAGGAAATAGCTGTCTAGGCAGTGTGTCTACTATATATGCTAAGATCTATTTCTAACATTTAAGTAAGTGTTACATAGTAAAAACTCCTGCACACATCACGCAGGAAAACTTGGTTTTGACTTGTTTCTCATAACTGACTTGTGATTAGTCCAGAAATTTGAAGATACCAAGAAGAGATTCAGTCTTATGAAAAACCTTCAAAAATGTACCCTTACATAATTCATGTCTTAATCTACCATTTCTGTACTGCAGATTATTGGCAAAATTATTCTTTTTGAGGCTAATTATTCTTCTTGGGCATTTCTGTATTTGCTTCTTGTGGTCCACATGTTGCGTTCATCTCTTGGGAAGAATATCCAGTCACCATTTTTAAGTGCTCTACTATTCAGCCTCCAATCACTTCAAAAGCTCCAGTTACAGTGCAATCCTTTGCACAGGCCAGTGCAAAATACTGTGCATTCAAATGTCTTGCAAATTCCATATAGGAATAGGACTCTCATCTAATGTGTCATCCTTTCTTCCATTTGCGAGGTGATTGAAGTTACTGAATTCCACAAACTGCTTAACTATATATATGTGCTATATCCAAACAGCTTCCATACACTTATGCTAGCAATGATTTCTGTATCTATTGTACTCAAACCATATAATTTATCATTAATGTAGAGGAAATGTTAAAATGTTATTTAAAGAAAATATTTTAAGGTGATTGAAGTAACCTAGTTTTAATTACATGTCTAATTTTATCTAATACCTGTGTGGCAGACTGGAAGTTATCACAATGTCTATAAGTAGTGCATAGCATTAAGACACATATAAATGACATTGATAGCTTCCTGAGGACTGACAACTAGAAGGAAAAAAAAAATTACAAGTTAGCATGCACCAGAACCTCAAACAATCAATGAAGCTTAGAAGGATTTTTTTTCCAGAATTGTAGCAAGTCAGGATTGTGACACTCACTTTATAAAATGTTAATTCGAAATGTTTCACCTATAGGAAATTATATGGCTGAGAGATGTATTTCTTCTGATGGTTAGTGCCTGGTTTCCTGCCTGTGAAATGTTAGAGGATGATGAGTTCATTAGAAAAGTTCAGCAGATGGAATAAAGTCTGCAGACAGGTGAGGACAGAATCCCTTTCTGTCTTTGCACCTTGCTCTCTGGGCCCATCCTTTTTCTCCATGTAAACATGTACAATATGGTCAACAGTGAATAAATTTCTCTGCATATTTTCATCCCTATTCAATGATCCTGAACTGCACTGTTCAATGTTACATTTAAAATCAGCTCAGCTTCCTCAGCTGGAAACTTGCATTAATCCATATGCTAAAGGACATGGTGTGCAACATGCTGTTCATGGGGATGGTTGTTGTGTACAGCAGTAGCATTAACCAGAATTAGCTGATGAAAAGATGCAAATTCAGCATGAAACATTGACATTTTACTGTCATCCATCTTTAGAGTTCAAATAAAATGCTGTATATATATCAGGCAGTTTTCTTTGTCTTTTCTAGAGAGTTTTACATCTAGCAAAGTTTCAACAGTTCCATTTTTTCAGCCACAGCACTTCTTGATCTGCTTGATTTCATTTGTCATTTCAGTATTATGTAATGTGGACCGTTGGCCTATGCAACCTGTTCCACCTGGTCCATGTCAGGCTTTTTAAAGGTAAGATTCACTGTGTAAGGAAGTCTGTGAAATTAGTATAAAGAGAAGGCAAACTTGTATTTTTTTCTGGGAAAAGAAAAAATGAACCATGCAGTCACTTCTTAGCAACAGGTACTTAGATTTTATTTACCTTAGCAGCTGATAAACCTATCAGCCTGTAGAATGCTCTTAGTGCTTGACTGAGTTGTTTGAGTAAACAACTCAGAGTTGTGTCTGTAAAAACAAGAATTCTTCAATGTTAAAGGAAGGTCACTCTCTATATATGGACTTTTTTTGTACCTGTCTCTCTGGGCTATCACTCGGCTGTATCCAGTCAGCAGGATTGCCCCCTATTCTTCAGTTAATTTCTTGCCCTTTTCCCTTTCAGTCATTTATTTGCCTGTCTCTTTTCCATCTTCCTCTATCAATTTTCTGAAGAATAAACTTGAAGGCCGAGCATCAGATGCTAGTGATCTCTGCTTCTGCACTCATGGATATTCTGTGCTCCCTGGCTCATAATTCAGCTTCTTTCTGTTGGCAGAGAGAGAGAGGCGAGGAGAGCTGTACATATTTTTCATATGGAAGTTTTTGTGGCCAGCAATTCTCAGCAATGATAACTAGTGCAGCTGTTAGTAATCAATAACACACCTTCAGTCTAGGCAGCACAGTTACTGACCTCCTTTCACTTTTCATGGGCTCCAGAATACATCTTTAAATGAGAAATGATGTGGGGATTGGCTGCCCCTGCAGTCAGTTCACAGACAACACCAAGCTGGGCGGGAGTGCTGGTCTGCTGCAGGGCAGGGAGGCTCTGCACAGTGAACTGGACAGGCTGTCCTCCTGGGCAACAAGGACAAGAGAAAATGGTCTCAGGTTGTGTCAGAGAATGATTAGATTGCATATTAGGAAAAATTTCTTCACCAAAAGGGTTGCCCAGTAGAGTCACCATCCCTGAAGGTATTTCAAAGATTTGTAGGTATGGCATTTGGGGACATTTAATTGTGGGCTTGGCAGTGCTGGGTTAACAGTTGGACCCAATGATCTTAAAGGTAATTGCTGACTAAAATTATTTTATGGTCTATGGGCAACATTGCAATAAATATTGTTACAGTAATATTTTTTGCTGGTGAGTATACACGGGCTGGTACTAATAATAGAAATACACTGTGTAATTCAAACATTTTAAATGTTCTAAAGATGATTAAAAAACATTCTCTTTAAGATGATGGCTATGAATCCTTTCTAGTATGTTAAATTTTTAATATCCCATCAAGTCCAACAATTTGCTGTATAGTAAATTGATTACAGTAAATTGAATTAAAAGGTAGTTAGGAAATATCAAAAAGGATTGTCTCTTCACAAGCAAAATTACAAGTATTTTGAGTGGAAATAAATCAGGTTTCCATCCTTCATGAGACTAGTTATTTGCTAAAAATATTTATGAAAATTATGACTTTTACATTCATATATATTTCACAATAAGTATGCCTATACTATGTCAGAAAAGAAAAGAGAAGTAAAATTTAGTAGTGCTAAGGCTAAAAAGTTGGGCCAAGCTGATCCTTTTTGCAGAAGTGACACAATTTGTATTATTTATCATTACAATCATTGTTATTAATATATGAGAGGACTTAAAATATACTCTGTGCCTGAGAAAAATTATTCAAGGGCACAGTCCAGCAGGCTTGCTAAGGAGAGTAATGGCTCTCTGCTGTGATTTGTGGAACAGAGTTTCCTGGCACTACCTTCCTTGAAAACAAGTGTATTTAAAATCCATGGTTTATCCCATAGGGTGTTGAATTTAGGGTGCTGGAGTATAAAATGCAATATGTATTTCTGCTGATGCTAGCCTTTATTTATGTTGCATGCTATGAAAGGATGACAAAAGGGAATGGTGTATTTTGTAGTGACAACTTTCCTATTCAGAAATCATAGGATAAGAACTGCTGTGATAAAGGAGACTATTATGTATCCAAAAAAAAAAATCAAGCCCCACAGATATTGAGGCACTGCTTACTGTTTGTCTCACTCTCTCATCTTTACTGCCTCAGCCTTTGATGGATGAGTGTACTTGAGCTATAGCCAGCTCTGTGTTATCATGCAGACAGATTTGAGGTGTCTAGAAATAAGTGTCTCCTAAAAAAGAGTCGAGAACTCTTACTGTGGTCCTTCTTCTTATGCCTTGAATGCTAGATTGAAGTTTTTCTTATAGCCCATCTCTGTTAGATGCCCTTACTGAGGGTAAGTCCTCGTACTTATTAACTCCTCATTATTCTCTCAATTTAAGATTCAACCTTCTTTATTAATCTATAAGATGCATCTTTCCCCCTTTGCCAATAAATTTCTTATTTTAAATTTATAAATAATTTCTAAATTTCCTGGTTGCACATCCTCAATTCAAGCATCAAATCTGACAGAAGAGTGCCAAATCTCTGATCCTACAAAAATGGTGAAAACAGCTTTTGTGGAGGTATGCACAACTTGCTCCTGCTGCTGTTCTTTCATTAAACCCCACAGAGGAAAATTTTGCCCTCAAGTGGAGCTCACTGTTGTTAGCTCTGTATGTTACTCTAGAGAAACAAATTGGTTTGAGGTAACTTGTTTTGAGGCATGTGCAGTATGAAACCTCTGAAAGCAAAGCCAGGGATGTTGCTGCCTTCTGAGCAGAGTGCAGAGAAGTGTGGTTAAAGATGCAGATCAGTATGCAAATCTGCCCATGAGCAAATTACTGAATGTTTTTGTGTCTCCCGGCTCATATGCAAAATGGGAATAATAATTCTGTCTTGCATTTTTTAAATTTAAATTGTTGTTAGTTAATGTACTTATGGTGGTCCAGGAGCTGCAGGAAAAAACCCCACAGAATTTAGCAAAGCATTTCCTCTGAAGTTTATGTCCCTCAAAGTTAAAGGTACTGCCTAAAATTATGTTATTAAAATATATTATTTGAAATAAAAATAATAATACTTTTAAAAAGCAAACAAAACCCCCAAGCAACAAACTATTTACCCATCCCATTTCTGCATAAGCTCACATCTTCACTTGAGATAACAGTTGAAGAAACAGTCCTATGGCAAAATGATTAAACAGAATAAACAAAATTACTGGGCTAGCCAACAGGTTGTTTAAGTAACCTGAGGTAAGAAGATTTTTCCTGAATCTTCATCTTAGCGTGAGTTTTTAAATAGTGGAATTTTTTGGTTGAACAGCAGGCTAAGTCTAAACTTTTGAAGGTCGTGTGGGGAAAATAAGTGGGGGAAGTGCAGGTGGGGACAAAGGAGACAAGATGACCATTATTAGAAATCATTTAAATTTAAAAAAAAAAAAGACCCAACCAAACAACCCCAAACCATAAATAAATTCTCAATAAAATTGTATGAAGTAAAATGTGCTGCACCACAATTTTATTTCCTAAAAATCAAGTATTGCTGAGAAACTGATATTGGCATGATTGCTAGAGAGAAATCTCAATAACGAAGTCACCACATTTATACACAACTGTGAACACATTGTGACAGCCTGGGCAGCCTCTGGTTAATGAGCAGAAAGAGTGAATAATCCTCCAGGTCAGGATGGAGCCGCCCTGCATCTGCCCTTGTTGCACTCTAGATTGCAAATAAGTGGAAGGCACCCATCAGATATTTGCTATTTGCTTTTGGTTTTTTACAGAAACTAATAATTTTTAAATAAGAATGAAATGTATTTATGTTAAAATTATATATATTTCAGTGTGATGATTAGCTTTATTTGCAGACAAACATCATTAAAGCTACTGCATGCCTATTTAACAGAACCATTGAAGTCAGCCACAGCATTGCTGAGCAATCTCTCCTTGGGCTTTACAGAAATTGTTCTGTCTCAATTCATCATCTAGAATTTTAACAATTCCTTTTTTTGACAAATACATGTATATGACAGGAAATAGAATGTACAAGGAATATTTACACTATGACATGACTTCCCAAGTCAATCTGAATAAATATTTTAAGTTGGATTTTTTAAAATCCCTGTGACCTTGCTTTCTAAGATCACAGTGTGGATACTTTGGTTCTGCAAATATCTCAGCAGAGGCTAGCAATCATTATTAAATCAGTTTGGAAAAAAATACTGTAAGGACATAAAACTAATTTTGAAAACACAGCTATTAAAACAGATCTTTTTTTAAGTTATTATGCTAGAAATGTAAAATATGTAAATAATATTTCCTTTGGTAGAAAAACAGTGAAGTTGATGTTACTATCTGCATATTAAAACTTTTGTCTGTCCCAAGACACCTGAGATGGTTCCTATTGGCCTGGCCTTGCAGCCCTCCAAAGCCTTTGGAAGCTCTGTGCAAGTCAATGGCCCTAGCCCATGGTTAGGCTCCAGGTCTTGAAGTTTTACGCATAGTTAAAAGAAGTTTATCTCCAAAATTTGAGGTTTTATTAGTGATCTTGTTGTGTAAGTTAATGTGGAAAATATTGGGAAGGATTAATTG